ATATATTTTTAAGTTTATTTATTTATTTATTTTGAGAGAGAGCGGGTGAGCAGGGGAGGGGCAGAGAGAGAGAGGGAGAGGGACATTCCCAAGCAGGCTCTTTGCTGAGCCTGATGCCGGGCTTGATTTCATGAACTGATCTCATGAACCATGAGATCATGACCTGGGCTGAAATCAAGAGTGGGACACTTAACTGACTGAGCCACATAGGTGCCCCAGACTACATATACTTTAGAGGCAAGTTCATTTTATAGCCACAATTAAAATTCTAAAGCTATGATAGATGACAGTTCACCATGTTTTACCATCAGTTTACCATGACGAGAATTTTGCAATAAGTGGTTGTTGAGTAGATAATGATATGAGTGTAAGAGAATATTAACTTTATGTGACATAACCATTTGATCATGCCGTATCCTTAAATATTAACTTGTGATGCTTTTAAGTTCTTATTCTTTTGTATTATAGAGTTGCTTTTGTATTATAGAGTTCCATTTTTTTTGGTTGTTATTCAGAAGGCACATAATCATCTAAAATAGTTTAATCCCCTATTAATTGAGAAATATTTAATATGTTTCTAATATATGTGCCACAGTCGCTAGGCATTCTGGAAAATGCAAAGAAGTTTCAGATTCTACCATCGAGATTTGAGTTTGATCAAATCTCGGAACATGGATAAATTTGAGTGGACAGGAAGGAGGAGAAGTAATGTCAGATAGGTGAGCACTTGAGCCAAGATATAGGGCAAGAATGATTGAGGCGTACTCAGAGATACATCAGTTAGGACTTCTTTGATTGCAGGTGACTAATACCCAAACCAAACTGGCTTAAACAAAAAAAGAAATTTATTATTTCATCTAATCTGAAAGGTTCCAAGGTTGGGTCTGGCTTCAGTGATGGATGGATTCAGCACTCAGCCATGGCATGGTTTCTTTCCATCCTTCCACTCTGCCTCCCTATGTTGCCTTTAGACTGGAGCTTCACATGGTACTAGGAGGTAGGAAGCAGCTCCAAGCCCACCATCCTTCCACAATTGGGATTCATTACAAATGTGAAATTCCAGTGAAAACCTCCTTGCGTCCTATTAACTGGCTTGGGTAGCCCTGCTGAACCAGTTGTGGATGCTGGGCAGCGCACTAGGCTCATGGTTGCTCCTGGGTCACAAGCCCATCCTTGCCCCACTTTCAAAGATGGGACTATGGTCATCTTCACTGGAACCACACAGTACAGGAGCAGGGCACATCGAAAGGGAAACTGAGGTATGGTTAACCGTAAACAGAGTAAATGGAAGCTGTGCAAGAAAATCAAGTGTCCGCTAATGGAGAGCAGTAAGTCTGCAGGTAACTGAGTAATTACAAGAATGAGACCCTGGAAGTGTGTCCTGTAAACACATCGTGAATGTTAGGATGAGAAGTTGGGCTTTATGAGGAATTATAAATAAATCGGACCTGGGGATAATTGACCTGTCAGCTATGTGCAGGATGGACGGGGGCTGGGTGCTTAACAGGGGAAATAATGTGACCTCTGTTGTGCTTTCCCATATTTCAAAAGCTGCAATATTTGCAGAGTGTCTATTGTGTGCTGTGAACTGTGGAGAACACAGAGAGGATGCCCAAGACTTGATCTTGCCTTCCAAAGAGTCTACAGTGTGGCAGGGAAGACCGTGAATTAGAGGCGATTGTGATATAGGCAGGGTGCACAGCAATAGCAAAACTTAGGCTTCATGGAACACAGACAAGGAGGATGTTAGTAAAATGAACCACAGTCATGGAGCTGGAAGCAGAGTGAGCAGGAACCCAGGGAAGCGAGGCCTAAAGACAGTCACCCCCATCTGGAGCATCTTTGAGAGCAAGTTGTTTGGGAACCCCAGTCATTAGTTGTGTAGGCCTTGAGAATATTACAAGGACGTGGGTGGGTAGGAAACTGCCTTTGTGTCATCAGATACAAGCCTCCCTAGGGGTTTACAGGCCCGGAGTGGGATTGTACATGCTCGCTGTCCCTGAAACAGAGGGCTTGTCAGGCCAATCAGCATGGGAAAGCCCTGGTTTTTAGCCCTTTGATGCTGCTTGTGGTCAGTGTTTTCTCCCCAGCTCATTCTGGTTGGGAACAAAGAACGCGTGAGCTACTGGCACGTGGTGGCTCCATTTCATTCTGTTTCAACAGACTTCAGAGTAAATGGGAAGAGTTTTCTTTCTCCTCCTTCTGCACTGGGAGAACTGAGTGCTGTTCCTAGTTAGTGATGCGATTCAGGCAAGTCTCTCCACATGCCTGGGCTTCAGTTTCCCTGCTTATAAAGGCAAAGCATTGGACAAAGACCGCTTTATGAATTCTCTTTCCATTCTAAGAGTCTATGAATCCAACAGAAACAACCATCCCACCTTTATCCCGTGACATGTGATCATGACATGATAGATTTCTAGAAAGAACTGCTCTGAAGTTCCTGGTTAGTGGCGCAACTAAAAGCATGGGAGCATTTGAGCACCAGGGTTCATCTACCAGGGCAAACATTTAGAAGGTTGCTAACTAGAGAAAGTGGCAGGAGTGGCGAGACCTGACCGGTTTTAAAGGGGCCAGGGCAAGGGTTCTCCAGGCAGAACGACGAGTAAGGGAGAGAATATGGCTGCCCTTGAAAGGATCTGGAGAAACGCAAGTGAGAATAAAGGGAGTGGGATCATCCAAGCACAGGCTCAACATTGAGTGCCACCAGCCTCTGCACAGACTGACTTGCAGGATTCATGGAGAAATGGCCCATTTCAGTGACTGCAGCCGAGGGCATGATTTGGAGTAATTGAGTAGATTATGAGGAGATGAAATACATAGGGAGAAGGTGCCGATGAAAGGAAGAAGGAAGGGAGAGTGCCCTGAGATGAGTTCTGATGGGAGCTTGGTTTTGAATGTTTTTCTCTGACCTGCAGTTACTTAATTTTAAAATTGTAAGAGGGGTCTGGGGGAAAGCCTTCATTTCAGAGCATCTCAGCCATTTAAAAAGCATTTGCACATCTTACCTAGGGCAATTCTGGGCGAGCGAGAAGGGATTATTACGGTTCCTTACTTAACTAAGAACTGAGTAAATCGTTTACACAGCCAGTGATGGACAGAGCAGGACTCAAAATTCCTGACTACAATCCCAATGTGCTTTTCGTCTCCACACCAGAAAGTCTCAGTCCACCAGTCAGTATGTAGTCCAATGCCAATGACTTTTTCTTTCTCAAGAAGGTAGGAATAGAAATATTTTTTATGACCAAGAGGAGAGTTTATATTCCTCTTGGATTAACTACAGAATGGTTTTTATGTAAGTCAGACTAAATAGACGTCTATTTTTTTTTACAAACATTCAAATCTACACAAACAGAACATTTTCAGTTTGCTTTGAAAGCAAAATACCATGTGTCGTAACTTTACCATGTTTTAAATAAAGTTAGGAATTTGGGTTTATGATGCTGAAAATATCATAAAGTCGGTGGGTAGAAGACCAAAAACTATATATATATATATATATATATATATATATATATATATATATATATATATATATATATATATATATATATATATCCTTAAAAACTCTGCAAGTAAAGGAATCAAAGGTGGATGTTTCAACAAACCAGTTATTGAATCATTGTGTTAACGATCTAGTGAAAGGAGAAGTGAATTATTCAGGTTTATCTTCCTCATTGATTTGTAACACTGCTCTTCAGTATGTGGGTAGTTTTTAAAGCAGAGCAGTTCAGCCTAACAAAGCCATTTACTGTACTGGTTCCTACACACTGGCACTCTTTTGCTCTTTATTACTTCATTTTGGAACTTTGATTGCCCTATTTTAGATCTAAGATTGCTCTAATGCTGCACCGCAATTGTATGAGGGGCTTAGTTTTCACTTTGTTCTCAGAACCAGGCTGGCTATAAATTTATCTCTGTTCTTTGAAGAAGCTAACAGTAAATTTTCAAGAGGAAAAAATGGTGGTACATATCCCTACAGAGGAAAAGTAATCTCTTAAAAGCAGAATAACCTCCAGGCTACATCCTTTTAAAGAGAGACTTTCAAACCAGGACGCCTTCAACTTTTATATGTCGTCTATATTTTTCTTCAGGCTTTGTACCTACTCTTCTGCTCTCTGTGTAAGGTTTCTCTGTAATGACCCCGTTCCTCCCCACACCCTTTAAATCTGTAATGAAGTCATGCGTTCCCAATTCTGATGTCATAATAACTTCCAGAGCTGCGGCTGGGTAGCACATCCTGGAGATCATCTGAGGTTTCATCAGGAAAACGAGGCATAGAGACCCGGAATTGGAATACCTACAAAATCGAATCTCTGTTTCATAAATTACCACATACTGCAATGAAAATGAACTTTGTAAAGTTAAATCCACGGGAGGGTTTCCATTTGGTTTAATTGCACTCAAAGCAGGTCTCCATTTCAGGCATCGGTTTCATTAAAATGAAACCAGTCCTTCCCAGAGATTCAGCCACACTCCCTCATCAACAGATAATAAGATAATTTAGAATGAGGAGGTGCTAAAATAACAGGATGAGCTCGTGGCTCTGTTTCCATGTCTGACAACTTCATCACCTTTCATCTTTATCATACAGCCGCCCTGAGCTGAATGTTGATGAATGAGGCACGCCTGGCGTCCTCCCTTGTCAGACACACGGGCCTGGGGCTCCTATTTCCCAGGGGCGCTCTAGCCCGCCTGGGAGCCACCAAGGGGAATAGATGTGGAGCTAGGGAAGGCTGGGTAGGGCTGGGAAGAGGTTGAACCCACGACATCACCCATCCTGCCTGTGCCTCCCCATGTCATGACCAGGCGCTCTAAGGAGCTGCATTTGCGGGGAGCAGAGAGCTCCCCAGCCGTGGTGGCTCTTGGCAGCCAAAGCGAGCCACAGTGGAACAGTTAAGCTGGCCAGCATCTTTTTCTGACCTCACCAAGTTCCAGAAAGTGTTTCTTTAGCCACTTCCTTCAGCCTAATTGTCCTCTTTCTCATTTTATGCCCCTGCTAGACCACCGCTCTTGATAAGGAGAGGCAGGTTTTCCGACGAAGACGCAACCAGGATGTGAAGAGCCGGTACAAGGCCCAGCCAGCTCCACCCGAACTCAACTCGGAATCGGAAGACTACTCCCCAAGCTCATCCGAGACTGTTCGCTCCCCAAACTCGCCCTTTTAAGAAGACCCTTTGACTCGAAGTCCTAGCTTAACCCTTTGAGACTCTGAGATTTTTTTCCAAATTTATGTAAAACGGTTTCATCTGATCTATCTAGCACGCAATGCTTGAATGGCAGAACAGAAAGCGTGTTTTCTGGTATCGTTGTAGCGATTTCTCTTGGCTCAATGAGATGACCACACGTCGTTTGCGAAGATGGCACCTTGCTGCTAATAGGGTCCTCAAAGGGTTAAGGCTAATCTGCAACTTTTTTAAACATAGAAGCAATGAATGTGTTCATCAGTCAAACTAGGATCTGCAGTATGTAATATAGCACATGTTAACCCTCTGAGTGCATAGGATTTGACGGAGAACCCCTGGGGAAATTTTCAGGCCTCTGGATGTGTACACACGTGTTTCTTGATTTTGCTGCAGATCAAGGGATGTTATTAGATGCTGAGATGTCCAGACGAGAAGGACATCTCGAATGATATCTTGCTTGTCGTTTTTTGTGGGTTTAGAATATAGCAGGCTTATAACTTAGACAGAAGACCTCTCTTTCACGATCCCATGATGAAAGGGACTTTTTTCACTTGAGGGATGACTGTCAGCTGCCGTGAGCCCTGCATCCCAAGCGGAGGCAGTTGGGTCTGAGACAAAACAGCCTGACCCCAGGAACTAGATGGCGCCCCCTTCCCCCAAATTCTCTCCGTGTGAAGTCGGCCTGATGATGCCCCAGAAATGCTGCTTCCACATCAGCTGCTGCTAGTTCCAGCACAGACCCTCGGAAGTCACCATATCTCGTCTTGTGCTTGGTGAATGAGGGTCTGCCCGCTCAGGATGAGACATCTATAGGAATAAAAACAACTGGTGGGAAAGAGCAATAAATTGCCAGGTGCTCTATAGGGCTGGGGTTTCAGACAGAAAGAGGAAACAAGATCCTGTTCTTTTTCTTACCTGCTTTTCACACACTGCAGTCTTCATTGTGAAATCCGTGTAGAGTATGAAATCCATACACAGGAGTCCGGGGGCACAGGGATACTAGAGGCAGGTGCTTTGCAAGGTGGCCAAGGAGAAAACACAATCCAGAATGTTCTAAAAATGGGCTTTAAGAAATCAACCCATTGGTAGCAGAATTCCATGTGCACCTTTAGGTTACCTAAGTACAGCCTCCCAGGAAGAACAGGATGAGGACCTACAAGGTACCCCTGAGAATAAAACTGCTGTTCCCCAAGATGACATTTTAATCCCACTGTCTTTAGCTGTCTACAGAGACATGTTTTTCTCCCTTTGGGCCAAGTCCTGTCTGAGACCTGCGTTTTCACTCCTGTTACCAAACCTTTCTCAAAACCCAGCCCTGTATCCCCCATGAGTTTCTTCTGGAATGTGTCCCATTTCAGAATGGGGACCCGCGGCTTCCAGTGTGTCACTGCAGTGCTTAGAGAAGAGGCTAGCCACGGTGTCTTGGAGACAGGGATCCAGCTCAAATGTCCTGCTAAGGTTTGCTCAGCAGTGTGATCCAGGAGACAACCAGTGAGTGATGGCTCATGAAATTGGCAACTTATTGTCTCTGTTTTGAATATACTTCAGTATCTGAAAGTCTTGAAACTTGTAGAGTCAGTTCTTTATTTTCAAATAGACATTGGTCTTCAATTGCTGCTTTTCACTCTTCAACTCATAAAGTATGGTCTGTATTAATATATATTTTAAAACCACAACATGTCATAACTTTTGCAACAGAGCGTCCCCAATTTTTTGCTCTTCCACATTTTGATTTATCTCTTTGGTCTGCGTTGTCCTGACATGTAAACAGTAGATTATTTATTGAGAATCCCCACCCCCGTTTGAGAGAGTTCTGGAATGGTAGCGTACTCGTCGCAAAGTAGCACAAGTCGGTTAGGTTTGGGATGGGGGAGGGGAGGACCGAATACCAGGAAGGGTGTTGGTGTGTAGGTAGATACCATATTAGTAAAATACCTTGAACCGGTCAGAAATTACTGCTTTCTCTAGACCTATAAAGCAAAGCACTATCCTGAGCCTAAAGAGGAGCTGTATAGGTTGGCCTCAACTTTAAATGTGTGAATATGAAGAATCCTATGGGCAGAGACCTACCTGCGATAGACCGTCACTTTCGTTTCTTTCTCTGAATTACTGTTTTTCCCATGGGAGTTACGTATATTGCTACAACCTCCACGTACAGAGCATACAGTGCAAGGCTCAGGCCTGTTTCCATCCAAGTCTAGGGGGACCGTGGACCCTGCAAAGCTGTGGAGTGTTTCCCGGCACACTGCAGAGCGGCAGCTTGGAGGAATGCAGGGCCCATTGAACATGGGGATCCCAGCGCATCGCTGTAGAATTTGAGTGATTTATGCTGAATAAACAGTGGAATGTGACCTGTCAAGTAGAAATATTGAGTAATCAGATGGAATGCAATCTTCGGCATTAAGCTATTGAGATTCTGAATGTCAGAGATGTACTCAGAGGGTTAACAGACAAGCACAAGGCATGCTGATTACATTGGTGTATCCAGACTGCTTTGCTTTTAGCCAGTGCTTTCTACTTTTTTTCACAACATTCTTGGGATAGTTCAAGTTTGAAATAATTAAGTGGTGGTGTTCTTTAAGGAATTTCTATAACCAAATTGATCTTATTTTTTATTTTACTTTATCATAGAATATATATGTACCATTATGGCAGTGTATCTCTGTAATTATCAATTTAATCATTGCCACAGTGTTTCCATATTTTTTTCCTAAGTATTTAATATAGCTCTTATGGTGGTGGCCTGGTGATGGGGACTGTCTTTCCTTTATTGATACATGACCAACCATATGGTATCTTCAAGGGAATTTTTAGATTCACCTTTTCAGTTTGGTAGTAGACGAATTAAAGAACTTCTTCATGGCTTGCATCATGTAAATCATCTCTGTTAGATGAGAACTGTTCATATTGATGAACACATTTTTTCTCAACAATGTAGCAGAAATCATTTTCTTCATCATAATCAATGAATACGTGATTTGCTCAAATCATTAGCAGGAAAAGTAAGATTTCAGTCATTGAAAATGTTTTTACCGTAGCCCTCACCTAACTTACACGTGGTGCATATTCAAATAAGCAGAGAAAAAAAATACAAATAAACTGCTGAAAACACTTGGTGTTTTGTATTCAGTGAGACCTTCTCGCAATGCCCAGCACCCCCATGGGTGGTGGTTAACAGGGCTGTCAGATATTGTTGAAAGAAGGCAATATATCCACGAATGAAGGCTAAAATTGCAATCCTTTACCCTTTGAGGCATATTTCAGTTGGAAAAGAAAAGAAAAGAAAAATTGGTTTAGCGTAGAGGGTCACAGAGCTACTGTGCGACCGAGGCTCAGGCACATTAAATCACGGTCGTTTGCTGACCAATGGCACCCATTAGACAACTCTGTACCCCACGCTGAAGTGCCATTGTGCTTGAGGAACAGCTTTCCTAATATTACTGTGTTGCTGCTAGCCCTTCTCAGGGTAAGGATCTGTCAGCGTTTCCATGATAAACTTCTGTTTTCAAAGGTTTTTAATTTGACCATAAAAAGGTGCCCCAGGCTGAAGTTTGCTGTATAGGGCCTGCACCAAAGAGTGAAGGTTTCGCTTCCTTCTCTTTTCTGCCTAATTCTCCCCCAGAAAGGGGCAATGACAACAAAAAATTGGGTTGTGTCCCCTTCTTCACTGTAAGTTCAGAATTTTGGAAAGCACCAAGATCCAAGATGGTAGTTTTAATGTAATGATTCATTTGGATGTGGGTTTAAACAAAAATTAATGAGTCACCTGGCATATACTGTAGATAACATCTTTTCTATAATTTGTAAATTAATTTTTTAAACTGCTACATGATTTTTTTTTTTTTTTTTTTTTTTTGGTCCAAAGACCTTTAAAAAACTTGAAGTTGGTCTGTTCAAAGGTTAGCCTTTCCTGCGTGTTGTCTGCCATTTCCATTAGGAGTTTAGGGAAAATACTCTCAGACCGACCCTTACTTTGCATGGAGTGATAGAGGGTCAGATATATGCTTCTGTTGGAGATATGGATTTCTTTATTTAATCATCACGAAGCCATTCTTGTCTGTTGGGGGAAAACAGTGATTAAAAGCACTTCCAAAATTAACATTTTGTCAGTTCAGATACGGTAAGAGCATAAATTAACACACTTTACACTTTTTTTGTTGTTTAAAGGCAAATAAATCAACAAAACTTGAAGACACTAAACATTTGATTACTGCAAATGTGCTTTAAAATTGGCTCAATGGTGCTTATACATAACACAGTAACAAATGGGGTTCCTAGGACTGTCAGAAGGAATCTTTAATTTGTATGTAATTACATACTTGAGGAGGAGGTGCTTTTAAGCCAGTCTTTTATTTTTTAATTATCTCAAATATGCAACCATCCATCCAGTAACATTAAGGGTCGTAAACTGGTGGGAAACAGGAAATTCAGTGTAGAGGCTTAGAATACCTCGGGTTAGAGTTGGGGGGGGTTCTCTCCCTTTGGTTTTGTTGTTGATAGACTTCAACGCTGGAGCTGCGGTGATCATTTTTCAGTGATCGAGCTTCTAACTGGCAGGTGTTTTGATCATGAGGTTTGCAATATCTTGCCCTTGGAGACAAGAGAGAAACCTAGTTTCCTTCTTTTTCCCTAAAGGAAAAGCGATCTCTATAATTAAACCATACCTGTAAATTTCCTCAACATTCTCTTTTGGTCAGCTGAATGGAGACCCTTAATGTTGCTTTAATGTAAAGTTGTATATTTTTGTCTGTGATATACTTTATTAATTTAAAGTAAATAATAGTTCTAAAAGCCTTCACTGTCGGTATTAAGAGAAAGTAGGATTTTAAAAGTGATGATAAAGATGCTATAATGTCAATTCATTCCAGTCCAATCGAATGTGGTAAGAAAAAGACCTTGAATAGTTCTCTAGGGACAATTTCTCACTTGCCATTGACATTAATCTTTGATGTCTGCTCAGAAAAAAATAAAAAGAAATTGAA